GTTCTGACGGCAAAGTGCACATCTGTAATACATCTCTTATCATTTCCTCAGTAGTGATTTAAGATGTGTGTACCCCCCCTAGGCTGGTTTATATCATCATATACCCCTCAGCATCTTTTTCTCTTTTTTAATGACGGTTGCAAAAAAAAAGCAGCTTCAAATATTCCCAGCCTGGCACTCGGAAGAAAGGAGAATGTGTGATGGAGTTCACAGGAGCAGCAGGATAATTTGGAGGAATAAATTAGCAGCTTGGCTCTTTGGTGCTGTTCCAACATTACTGGGAAGTAATCCAGCACCTTGGAAAGATGACATTTGGATGCCATATTGGATCTACTGTAATTTGAGGTTAATTGAATTGAAAATCCCCTTTGCCTCACCCAAAGGAAAAAGAAAATCTCCAGTAGGGATTAAAGAATTGTATGGTATAGGAAAAATAAAGCATGTATTTGATGTTATATGCACCTGGTTCTGAACCAAAATATATCAATGTCTACAAATAGATAAATTATCCTTGTTAAACGTGTGTTGAGGACAGCTGGCCACACTGCGATGCGTCTTCTTCTTTGCTCAGTTTTGATGTCTGTGACTGAATTTAAATCAATGGCTCGGAGGAAGTTGCAATGCATTCTTGGAGCAGAAAAAGATGTTTGGTAAATGGGGTCCTCTGAGCTGACCGCGGCATCAACGGTGCCTGAGCCCTCATCATGTCCAGAAATTCACATTCTAATAATGACTAATGTGTTTGCAGATGTCAGCCTGCACTCATTAGGCTGATTTATAGCCTTGCCAATTTATAGGAAACTAGCAGCGCCATATTCCAATTTATTCAGGTCAAATTAACCATTCATAATTAGACACGGTAACCTTTCCCGCTCCCTTCTTCTTGGCTGATAGTGATGTACATGCAAAGCAAATGTTCATTGTTTAATCTCACTGCCTGTCATTAGGCAGGTTATGTAAGAATCATCCCATGCAGGGCAAAAGTGAAGCCGGAATCAATCTCTTAGTGGTTAGTAGCTACTGTGTTGATTAATGGTGGTATCATGCAGGTGAAAGCTCGCCCTTTCCTCTAAAGGTGGCACCGACCCTATGGAGCCTTTCAGCTGCAGCACATATTAATTATGTGGCCAGTTTAATTAGTAATGTGTTGTACATGAGAACTCATGCATTTTACTTTACCTTCTTACAATACAAATAAAAAAAAACATTCAAAGGACAAAAGATTACACGATAAAAAACAAATATAAGAGGCACATAAAACCAACAAATACTGTATAACAAAACACTTTAAAATGCACAGGGCAGTCAGAGAGTATCTAGTATTGATAATCACTTTTGTACCGTACTACACTCTGAAATCACTCAAGCGTCCATCCTTCCATTTTTCTGACACATATCGAGAGTTGGGTTGTTGTTGCAGTAGTCTAAGCACGTTAGTCCAGGCGCCTCTACCTTGCAACTTGTTTCAGTTGCTCCTGGGGGATCCTGAGGCGTTCCCAAGACAGATGTGATATATAATCCGTACGGTTTGTTCTGGGTCTACCCCGCGGCCACCAGACAGTCGGATGTGCCTTGAAAACCAAAGAAAGGTGCCCAGAACATTTCTATTGGCAATCAATCAAGTGTAATTGTCTTGTAAGCAAAGGCTTATTGTATAACCATATAATATAACAAATTACACAACTATTACACATTACATTACACATTGTCCTGCCCAATCATGGGAATTGTATGTGGGTACAGTTCCTTCAATGTCCATCTTCTGTAGATGTAAACACCTTCAAATCAAAGCTCAAAGTCAACCCTCAAGATTTGACTTTCACTTTGGTAAATAATCTATTTTTTTGCAGTTACTTTAACACATGCAACAGTTTTGCTTGAGCAAACCCATTTCAGACAGACTGCATCCCAAGTAAAGCCTTCAGTATGGGCCAGCAGAGGCCTGTGTGACAGTTAGACATACAGCCCTCCACTCTCTTGTCTTGATTACTGCCCCTTGCTTATTTGGTTTGCTCTACTTTAATTAAGTCTTGTCAGATCTGGTCTTACCCAAACACTCTGGTTTGGACTCTCTTGTCCGTAGTAGTCATAGTGGCTTTTGATGTTGTGTGACTTGAGAAGACGGGCTGTCATTTACTCAGGCTCATTAAAGAATAAATGACAGGAAAGACAGGACCTAAGGATTGAGGGAGAGAGTGGGAGAGACATATGTGAGGACCTGCTGGCTTCAGGTTTGTTAGTTTTGGCTGGTCCTGCTGTCTTCAGTGTCTCGGCTGTCCGTTAGAATCAAGAGTGTCTCCCCGAGAGGCAGCTGCTGCCAAACAGCATCAAAACAGAAGGACGAGCTGAGTGACAGAGGGAAGATGAAGAGAAGGAACAAAGGGTGGACAAAAGGAGAGCAGGAATAAAGCAGGAAGGAAACAACAGAGTGCAGAGATAAAGACATTCTGCCTGTCATTTTAACAGCGGCAGTTTTATCCTGTGAAGGTGTAAAAGGACTGCTGCCTTTCCTCCATCCTCTCTGATATTCTGAATCCAATTAGTGGATGTGTAAGAGGGGGTTCCTCAGTGACAGAAGCCCATTTGTAAGACCTGCTATCTATCAGGAACACGGACGGAGGTAATATTTTATTGATGTCTGCCTATATTATGAAAATAATGACCCTTTTTGTCAGGCCTTATAAACTCTGGACGCTCACTGGGAAGCCAACGTCACTTCATTTTGTTGAAGTTTAGAGCCTGATGCAAAAAAAGTAAAATATAAATCTGTTTGTATCATAATGGAGTTACAGGGTTATGGCCTCTATTGCATTCCACAATAGGACCGCCGCTAGTGAAAATGTGTAGGTGGTATCTAGCTTTTCGATCAAGAATAACAATTTAGCTGGATTGGGTAGTTGGACCCAGGCCACCTCGACCATTACATCAGCATTTGTAAAAGTATCGCAAAGGTTTGGAAAATGCCACAACTTCCAGAATGTCTGACAGACCATAAAGAGTAATAATGAAGTTTTTAACCCCATTGAAATAAACTATGTTTATCTATTTCAGTTACTGCTATGAACAAGATAACAGTAAAAGCTGCACTGCATTTATCCTGCTTATTAGTTTAGGGCTGAGTATCTACAATTTGACACTGTTACCAAGACAATAAATGTTTTGATACCATAATTTGCGTAATATAAACATATTTCTAAAAAATGATGTTATATCCCGCAGATTATTTTCAGTTTTCACCAGAATCGGACCCCACTGCAATAATGACAATAATTAAGAATAACTACTGTGTAGAAATAGCCAATATTGTCGCTGATAGTGTCAATTACTTATGTAGGTCATGTAAAGGCATCAGTATTACATCGAGACTGTTTCATAACCAGTTAAAAGTTCCTTGTCTTAACAGTAATTGGTGTAATGATGTAGAAAATGTATATTATAAAGACAAATATCTGTGCACTGAAAGTGACTGAGGAACAAATGTTTGTGAAGCAGTTTGTATGTGTGATTGAGTGTGAGTCTCTATGGTACACAACAGATTTATTTATAAATAAAACAGTTTGTGCTGCAGGAGACAGACCAGTAAGAAACACAATGGAGTCTCTCTGGTGGAGACGAGCTAAGCATCACACTATGGTTGTCGGTTGGGTCTCTGCTTAGGTTGGACAACATGATATCTGGAACCATCCATTGCCAGTTGGTTAGCACCATATGGTATTTTATCAGACTTCCTGCAATAAAGATGGAATTAAATGCAAATGAAGTGAAACTGAGACTGAAAAACATGGATATGATGGATGCCTATTATTGTTCAGATGCCTTTAGACATATGTCACATGAATCGATAGAGATATTGATTCAATTTCAGTTTTGTTGACCTTTTACCAAACCATAATCTTTTATTTTGTCTTTTTAAATCAAGGTTTTATCACAGGAATGTTTGACTCCGCAAAAAATGTTATAACTTCAGTAGTATAGGGTTCTAAAAACAGCTCTGCCATGGTTCAGGATCTCCATCACAGGGTTTCTTTTTGATGGTTGACCGCGTCTTAGCTTTGGAAACACGGTGACAGAAGACAGACAGCGAATGAAACATGGTCTTGAGTCTCGCTCCAATTTTTGTATTGACCTGTCAGATCTGACTTGACGTTTGAGGAGAAAGATTTACAAGCTCCATTTAGGGCAGGATTGATTTCTGTCCAAGGCAACTTTGAGGAAAGATTCGAGAAAAACGTGTATGAATAGCCCTCCCTTTGATTGATCAATGCTTTCAGTTCTTGGTTTGACTTTTTCTGCAACTCTATATTTTTCAACCTTCCAGCAGATGCTGTACATTTTACCTGCATTTTCCTTTCTGCTGAGATGTCATGTATTGCTGCAGATTGAAAAATACTTGAAATTGTTTTGATCTCAGCTGACTCATGTGTTGGATGAACAATTACTGAGACACTTTCTTGAATCCGTCCTAGGCATTTCATAGTTTGTATGGTGAAATATTCATGAGCATTATTGCCATTTATGATGAGAAACAGACATTTTTGCCAAAAGGCTTTATGACTACACTTGGTAGGGGGGTGGCAATTTAATTTTCATTCCTCACAGTTGGATACTTTCTCTTTAGTGTAACATTGGTTCTAATGATTGAAGTCAAAGATATTAAAATAAGTCTCTAAAGCAAAAAGTATTTTATTCCCCCAATAATAGTGAGAATTGTATGTAGGCCTAAAGGGAAACAGTCTGGAGCATGTGGCATAGACAGATGTCTTGTTTGATAGCGACTGCTAAGGCTTTAGTTTTCTTTTGATCTTTTTTGTAAGATGTTATTGAGAAACGTTTTACAATTTGTAGACAACTTGCTGAAGCTCCTTTTGTTACCACGGCCCAATTTATCTGTCGTGCATACACAAATACACAACATATGGGGCTCATTTTGTGAAATCAATACCATTATACTGATGCAATAGCCATTCTTAATATTGCTTTCACTGTCTTGATCTCTGTAGAGCACCTCAAGGAACCACTAGAAAAGTACATGGTGCGGTTGCCAAAGGTTCGCATCCTGAGGACCAAGAAGAGGGAGGGGCTGATCAGGACTCGCCTGCTGGGAGCCGGAGCTGCTAAAGGAGAAGTCATCACCTTCCTGGACTCTCACTGTGAGGCCAACGTCAACTGGCTACCTCCATTGCTGGGTGAGGAACCGTAAAACACAACTTATTGGAATTGCATATCAATGTACCCACTTATCTGAATCTCAACTCTACAGCCAAGTCAAAACCTTAGTTTTCGCAAAACACAGAAACTTTTCTCAAATCTTTATGTTCCTTTCTTTGGAGACTTTTACCTCTCAAGGACTGTTAAGACTATAAAATGAAAGAGTCTGAGAAAGGAACATCGCTCTTTGGTTGAACTGTTCACAGCTCCAAGACATTTGCAATCTGTCAAGACGAGTCAAAAGTAGACTTTTCTTCGCCATAGGCGTTTAGAGCCAAAAAAAACCTTTGGAAGCACTTCATAAACCATTTTTTGTCATTAAAATTCTTCAAACCCATATTCCTTCCTTTGTTTCCTTCAGATCGAATCGCAGATAACAGAAAGACCATCGTGTGTCCGATGATCGACGTGATCGACCACGACAACTTTGGCTATGAGACGCAGGCAGGGGACGCCATGCGAGGGGCGTTTGACTGGGAAATGTACTATAAACGGATACCCATCCCTAATGAGCTGCAGAAAAATGACCCCAGTGAGCCCTTTGAGTGAGTGCAGTTATCTTTGATACATTTGACGGCAGCGTCACAAAAACAGATCGATGCAAATCCAAAATCTCTGTAATGTATAGTCATCAGCAAATGTGCATTATTGGGAATTCCTTGGTTCACGTCCCATTTTGTCTGTTTTCTTCTTTCTTTTTCTTGCATGTGTAGTTAATCTTTGCCCAGGTAGCAGTGCTGAAGTTCAAACAGAACCAATAGTCTATGATTGCTTCCTATCCTTCCTTGACAGGCAGCATTTCATGGCATGTAACTTTAAAGTAATGGAAACTAAATAAATAAATAAACCCAGATACATATTCTGCTATTTGTAAGGTCAAATAACTCTGCAAGTGGTGCCAGGCACTTGAATGTGTGAGCTTTGGGGGATTATCTAGACAGCACATGTCTAAAGACTATTTGGGTGTCCTGGGAAATACAGTAGGTATCATCAGGAAGGGTGGCTGTGCTGCAGGAAGATAAGAGACTAAGGAAGAACAAATGCGCTGCAGAACAATCAGAATCAATCCTCATTTTGTGAATTAGTCTGCTCTTCTTGCCCAATGAAATGACCTTCATCAGTGCAAATCCAATTTGAGTCGCAAAGATTTCCATTTTCATTCTGATTGACATTGCCGCAGTGGAGAATGAGGCACGGTGGGCAGGCAAAATCGTGTGTGTGTGTGTGTGTGTGTGTGTGTGTGTGTGTGTGTGTGTGTGTGTGTGTGTGTGTGTGTGTGTGTGTGTGTGTGTGTGTGTGTGTGTGTGTGTGTGTGTGTGTGTGTGTGTGTGTGTGTGTGTGTGTGTGTGTGTGTGTGTGTGTGTGTGTGTGTGTGTGTGTGTGTGTGTGTGTGTGTGTGTGGTGTGTGTGTGTGTGTGTGTGTGTGTGTGTGTGTGGTGTGTGTGTGTGTGTGTGTGTGTGTGTGTGTGTGTGTGTGTGTGTGTGTGTGTGTGTGTGTGTGCTCTCATACTGCTGTAACTGTCTCTTTTGTCAGCGCCATCACCTCTGCCTTTCTTTTTGCTTCTGGCTTCACTGTTTCATTTGTAAGCTTAGGCCTTGACACCATCTCTCTCCTCAAGGTCAATGGACTGAAGTGGAGAATATGAACTTGAGCATTCAAATTAAATTCAGTAGACACTTGCAAAAGAACAGGGACTAGGGAAGATGGATGAATTTTTCCAGCTGAAGAAACTAATATATTTTCCCATTGGCTAATGTTGGGAAATCACAAGCAGACCAACAACAACTCTGAAAAAATCAAATATTATAAAATTGGTAAGTGATAACTCTTAAAAATAATTAAAAACTTTGAATCTGACAAGGCACACATTTTGGTTGGCTTATAAATAGTTTTGCAGTTGTTCGGTGCAAATCACATTTTTCGCTGTGTTTTTGTAACTTCCTTTTTAAAAAACAAACGTAACAACAAAATAATAGAGATGGTAATTGCCTTGAAATTCAGAGCTGCACCTATTCTCTTTCTTTAGTTGTCTTTGAAGAAATACATTTTGTGTTACGGCTTGCTGAGAACCTGGGTGCGAAAAGAAAAAAATTGATATTACATTTATTTGGAAATGAACAATGACTGTTTTTCTTGTACAAAAACATTCAAATCAAATGTATCAATATAAAAAATTCAAAATATTTTATACTATTACTCTTAGCCATGGCAACTAAGTGTGCACACTTCACGGCTGTAATACATGTGTAAAGCCCCCCCTGCTGCGTTAAGTAAAAGCACCAATTATTTTATTATTTTATGACATTTCTCTTTTTGCTCAGCCCTTTCCTCTTCACTTTATTTGAAAGCCAGTGTCAGCTCCTGGAGTAACAATGATTAATGTTCACTCAGTTGTCTGCTGTGCAAAAGCTCAGCAGACTATGAAACCCTTATGGCAGAAAATAAATTATTCAAATTTCCTCAAATAATTGTATTAGACTCCGGATCTAATAGTTGATGATAAACAGTGGTTTGAGAGTTAATGATAAAAGTAAACCGTGTTTATTGGCAAACAAGGTACATGAACATGCCTCTGGCTATTATTCGGGTAAATTAAACTGGAACCTGTTGTGTTTAAATTATCCTCATCTTCACAAGCTTCATCTGAGCTGTGAGATATTAGTGTTGTCTGTCCTGAAGCCACAGTGTTTCATTCCACACAACTCAGGGAGGTGAAGTATGTTTGTTTTTTCGCCCTCCATCCAACACCCCAAAAATCAGTGCCAACACAGTGCTGCGCTCTCCATGCTGAGCTCACACACTCCTGTAACAGCTTGCAATCACTACACTTAGAGCCGTCTAACAAACCTTTGGCACCATTGGTTACCTTTGTTTCCTGATGAAAGTCTGTTCACTGCATTCTCTTCAGCAATGCTGTAGAGAAAAAGAGTGTGTCGGCTTTGTGTTTCCTTTATCGAGCATACAAGTTACACGTCTTAGGCAATGAACTGCTTGGACTTGCACTGTTACCCAATCAGGCCAGTAGTGTGAAAAACACAAGAGCAATGATTATGATTGTCCTTTTTTAGAAAGATAGGGAAATAAAATGTGTTTCGAAAGTATAACAGCAGTTCACCAACATGTTTTTCTCTGCAGAGTTTGTTATACCAGTCAGAATTATCACTGGGTGACTTCACAAATGCATGTGCATACAGCAGGCAAATACACAATTATGGTCAGGATAGAACGTACTGAAACTAACTCTCACAGCCTGTAAACAGTTATGAAATATTAGACACATTTTCACATTATTTTTAACAATTAATTTGATCATGCAGCATGAGATCAGATGTAAAAACCTTGCTTTTATATTTAAGGAAAAAAGTAAGAGTAATAATAATAATAATAATACTTTTTTTAATATGTACTGTATTAGCAGGGCTCTGAGGCTTTCATAGAGAAGACATGGGTTTAACAATATTATTAGATCCATTGGATTAACTTTCTGATTACAGAAATGTGATATATTAAGATACCTCAAATGTCATATTGACATTTTATTAAAAAAAGGCACCACTTTAATTACAGTTGAGGTCAGTTAAAAAGTAATTTTTTGTCTGTTCATATTTGTTTGCAAAACTGTATGACATCACAGTAGAGAGATTAGAAAAAGATGGATGTAGAGAAATGTTCTCAGTGAAAAACAATGCTTAAGACACATTTTGATGCCATTTCTGTTGCGTATTGTGTGTGAATGTGTCTCTTCTTTGTCTTGCAGGTCACCAGTGATGGCAGGTGGGCTCTTTGCTGTGGACAGGAAGTGGTTCTGGGAGCTTGGAGGGTACGACACAGGTCTGGAGATCTGGGGAGGAGAACAGTACGAGATCTCCTTCAAGGTAAAACATAAAACACGTCACCACCTCGCACAGATCTACAGTGTAGTGTCTGAGTGAAGTGTTGGAAATACTGTAATGGATAGCGTCATTGGGACCTTGGTTTAAATGTTAAGTGTTAACTTAAATCTGTCAAGAAAGAAAACTCTTCCATGTTTTGTGTTTGACATCAGTCGGTGTTTGACTATGAGTTTGTTTCATAGTAATACACATACATACACTGTAGCTATTTGAGTTGCTGATTTTAAAAGTATAGTGTAATTGCTTTATTGACATTCACATTGTCCGCATGTTTATTATGAATCCTTATATACATATAAAATGCAGCACTAGATATGTTTTTGTATGTAGAACAATGATGATTAAATCCCATCTGAAATATGTATTAGTATTGTATTCAGTTATTATTTTAAATAACCATCATAACTCAAAAGGCTTTGAAATTGTTTTTTAAGCTCTGCCTTTACTGTTCTGCTTATTTACGGATACTCACAGACTGGGAAGGACAAAATGTCATCAGTTATGGGATGTTTGTCCCAGTTTCTTTCAGAGATCATTCAGAAGAAATCCAGGGGCAAGGCAATTACTTATCTCAATTGCTTATTATGAGCTTGTTTTTTTAACATTAAATTGCTTTAAAGGAGGAAAGAGTATGTTCCATATGCTTCTCCTAATGTTTTATTAGTTTACCCAAAGCTATTTAGCTGAATAGCTTTAGAAAAAACATAGTTAAGCCTATGAGACATTCCCTATTATGGTTTCAACCCTTGTTTTAGTCATTTAAGATAAACCTGCTCTGTTGCATAGAAGACTCTCCACATGAATCATACTCAGAACACCATATTAGATTATGCTTTTCTCTGGTGCTTCAGCATGAATTATTATATTGCGTGACCACAACTGCCTGCGACTTGGCCAGCATGTTTAACTCGTCTCCCTCTCCTCCGCTGCGTCCGTCAGCGGGCTCCGGACGGATAAAAAGGCCGTCATAATAATTCAATCACTGCTCTAAAGAGGAACGACTTTTGTCGTCTCACTCAATTAAGCACAAAGGCCTCTGCTAGGTATTTTTATTCTATTGGACATATACGTTTTAACTTCTGCTGCTTCTTCATATTAATGTTGAATCTTTTTGTTATTTACTTGTCCTTATTGATACTAAAATGGTAGTGATGCAACATATACTGTAGGCTATGACATTCATGGAAGCTTTTACATTTGCGGTTTTAAACGGAACAAACCGAAGGTACGTCAAAAAAGAACGCAGTGAGCAGATAATTGCATTCAAGTCAAGAAAGACACAATTCTGACCCTTTAATGGAACTGTAAAATGAAAAAAACGTTTCTGAATCTATAATAATGTTTTCAGAAGGTCTTGTTTTTTCACTAGCTTCATTTGGAATGACATGTAGAATCTGTTTGTTGCATTTACTGCATGAACACAGGCATATATTTACATCTTCATGAGCACAAGATACAAATAGAACAGGTACTTACTCCAGAGTGATACTGTTGGTCACAAACTCCCCAGGGTACCTGAGTATGCATGGTCAAAGAAATCTGGTTTCTCCAGTTTACACCTAAAGCAGATTTATCTACTATCTACAAGAATGATACCAAAGTTTGTGGTTTCTACAAATATAATTAATGATATTAAGCATGTTTATGTAAATGCAGGTGATGTTGTATGGGGTAAATGGTTCATCAAAGCCATCTGCACTGTAGAATACTGGCTGGCACCAATTTTGTTGCATTTTCTGAGTTGTTTTTGAAAAGCAGTCTGAGTCCATGGTGCTGTGGTTTAAGTCTTAATAGTTTGAGGTTAGCAGATTGTAGAGTTGGTGTGTTTGAAGTGAGTGATGAGACTTTCAATTTAATCTGACCGGCACAAAACTCAAGCTCCAGATCCTTCCTGCCGCGAGGCGCCCTGTTATTGAGCTCGAGTGTTTCAGTGTGGGATGAAGACAATGGAAAGGATTGGCACAGCAGGTCAGACCTTCCCCACAGCAGATGCAGAGAGGGTGCATTTAATCTGCCATTTCCCCCGATTCTGTTTGTCAAACCTGGAGTGGTGCAACAAACTTGACAAGGAGTAATGAACTGAAATAGCAGCCAGCTGATGTCAACTCCGGAGAATCAGGAAGGGGAGCGATGCAGAATAACAACAAACTGAATGGAAATTGTAGAGTCCAAAAGAAGAGTCGATCAGTCAGGGGATGTGGAGCGTTTTCCATATTATTGACTCACTGAGCTTCCCCTGTGGCCAGTCTACTTCCCTCATCAGACATGTGTCCTCGAGAAAAATGCCAAACTTCAACATGTGTATACATTGGAAATCATTATGAATAAAAGCAGTATGGAGAAAACAAAGGAAGAGAAATATCACAACAGATTTAGGAGTAGAATATTGTGGCAAGATCGTTAAAAGGGAAGAATGATTAAACGAGCATGGTTGTGATTGTAGAGTCACATGAATCCCTTGCATAGCGGTTTAAAAAGTTTGACATTTATGTATCAAATATTCTTGGAGAACACCCCACTACAAAATCATTTGAAAAGTGGGTCAAATGGATCATTTTCAAAGATCAATTAGCTACTGTTAATCAATGAGATCACTGAGCCACACTTTTGATAAGCAATGAATCGGATAGTTTTGTATGATTACAATAAATGATACAGCACCCACAATCTGGCTTTTAAAATACCCATACCCTGTGGAGTTAAAAAGTTGCTCTGCTCTCCAAAAGTACCCTCACAAATCCAATTTCGGTCTTTGTCATTTAGCAGAGCATTATTGACTGGTTCTCTTTGATCTCATTTACCCTGTTTGGTCTTTATGCTATTTACAAACACATACACTTTGGGGTGATTTTCGTAGGTTGTTCTGAATTGTGTTCCAACTCCTGCACTCTCCATAAAATGGGGTTAATACCTGAGGTTATTTAAGCTTGTATCTAACCTGTTTTTAATCTCATATTTATTTAGTCTTTTTATCCTCTCCTAGGAAGCAAGACCCATAGCTTCCAACCTTGCACTTGATGTACACATTGCTTGATGTTTCTCTGTCATCCTCCCACTCATCTGATATCTACACTGTTTAGTGAAACAAACACCAGCACAGAACTGGTCTTTATCACGGCTAAATATCTCTCTCTCTGTGTCTATAGGTGTGGATGTGTGGTGGCCGGATGGAGGACATTCCTTGCTCGAGGGTAGGACACATCTACAGGAAGTACGTCCCCTACAAAGTTCCTGGTGGGGTCAGCCTGGCCAGGGTGAGTCTCTGCAGATGGTTTTACAGAATGTTGATGTGGACACAAGGACAAACAAGGATGTATAGATTGTTGCCTTTGTGCCTTAGTTTCTATGCAAACATATCATGGGCTTTTACGTTGTATGTATGGAGATTGAATTGAATGCCAATCTCATTTTCTTCCCTTGTGTCAAACTAGTTCCTAATCTTTACTGATAACAGTGAGGTATGTGGATCACTCTGAGGAAAAAGGAAATGTTTTGAGTCTAATAAATGCATGTTTTGGCTACTTAAAGCGTCACTAATTCCATTCACCTTCAATGTATAAGGGAGGTTGCAAAATCCTCAGCATCAGATATCGACTTTGAATAAAAAAAATACAGTTTTTTTGGTACTGACTTTACTGTTTTGATAACACATTATTTCAAAAGCCATACATCCTGCAAGGTTTAACAAAAACGTCATCAACTGTACAGAGAAAATGTGGTTCTCAGGGTGCACAACTGCATATGTAAATAATATAAATGAATGAATAAATGAATTGCCTTAATTGATGTCACGTGAGGGTTGGGGTTAGGATGGTGCTGAAGACTACAGGCTCAGACATTGAAAAAATCTGTTAGACTGGAGTTTGAAAGGAGTGAATTTACCAGACCGATAGCTGCTCCTAATCTTTTGTACAGGCTAGTAGCACAAGGTGACACTACTAGCATCATGTCACCTCCAAATCTCTGACCCAACTGTCTTGAGTTGCTTTATGGGTACGAATCAATCTTATGGTCCTCAATATACAATTTACATTTTTCCAATATTGAGCTTCCGCAATTGGACACAGTGTGAGACATTTTTAATAAATAATCATCTAGCCTGTAGCTGAATCGTATTCATTATGCATGACTCAGCCTCAGTCTGACACCTGGCTCTGTTTGGCTTGGCTGAATGTGTAATTAAACCTCTTGGCTTCCATCTTTGCCTCGTCGGTCTGACCATTGGCCCTTCACTGAGGCTGTATTGAATGCTGATATCAGACAGGCAGCAGGTTAATTAATACAGAAATACTTACTGTACCTGAGTCTGGGATGAATGCTGTTATTTCCCCTGTTTCCTCTGTATTTAACTTTCTATTTTAACTGATTTTCTTTAGCTGTTATGTTGCTACTTGTCAAGAATGGATAAGACTGTAACTTAGATAGAGTAATTATAACATATAACTTGATTAACAAACCATTCTTTATTATGTGGGTTCTTATGACTGGCATCATCCCAGTTACACACAAAGTCACTGACATCATGGAGGCAGCTGTTTTCGGGGAAATCTCACAAGACCTACCTGTTGCATTGACTTTTGCAAGAGACATATATGTTTAAAAAACAAAAAGTGTTCAGTATTACCTTGTATTCTATTTCAATATTAACACATAGATGATTCTGTGGGCAAGTGTCATCCATTTAATGGTTTCATGGCTTGAAAAACAGCTTTTTTTCACAGACAATCTGTGTGTGTGTGTGCACGCACATGTCTCGTGCGTGTTTGCATGCGTGCGTGAGAGAGAATCCGCAGTTCCTCACTTAAGTCCATTCAACATTAAAGGAGATAGAGCCATTGAACTCTACTTCACCTGGAAAGTTTTGCTTCGAAAGTGTAAATAATAAAGATAAAAAAATTTATGTTTTTGACGGTTTCACATACATATCATGTATTTCGACTCTAAAGACCGCCAAACAAGTCATGTGCTTTTGATTCAGTTTAAAATCAAAATCATCCTTTTTCTAATGAGAGTTTCAGGTAAAAGGCTGTACCTGTTTTAATTAACATGCCACGTGAAAAATAATAGCTGGAAATAGTTAGTCTTTTATGTATCCACCCTGTCCTGTACATTAGCACAAATTGGACTATGTATCTTAAATGTTTCCATGACTCATGACAAGTTGCTACTATTATTTTCTCCTCCCACGCCTTCCGAGACATGATGACAGGTACTGAAAGATGCCTTTTTCCTGAGCGGCTTTGATCATCTTGTCATGTCAGATGAATAAAAACATCAGGGGTGGCAGCATATACAGATGATGTCTTACTCTGTTTTTCAATGAAGTCCAGAAACACAAAAATCTGCTAACAAGCCACATGATTTGAATACTGTGTGTACATACTATAAACAGAGTATGATAATGTATCCACATTGCTGGCAGCTGTTTTCCTACAAGATAGTGTGCAATGGGAATCACTTGACTCTTATGACCTGAATCAGTGGTGGGTTTAGGAGTGGATTAGATATGTTGGAGTAGCTCTGAGCTCCAAATTGTCACCTCTTAACCCCCAATCCTTGTAAACAACAACTTAAAGCTGCACTCGTCAATATCCAAGGTAGCCAATGGATGTAATGACTGTGTAAAGTGAGTGGCCTTTCTCATAATGACCAACCCACAGTGAATTATCTCCTTACTCTGCAACAGAATAAGCCAAATATATTGGTTTACATCCATTGCTGCCTGATCAAAATGAGAAAACTGAAAATCCCTTTAGTCTGGCTTCTTTCCTTGCGGGCACCAGTTTATTGTCACGGTAGCTCCAATGTTTGCACACAAAATACATAATTCTTTTAAGTTCATCCATATGGAATCTTTAGCTTTAACATAAGAGTTTTTTTCTCATTTCAGAATCTGAAGCGTGTGGCCGAGGTGTGGATGGACGAGTACGCCGAATACATCTACCAGCGCCGGCCTGAGTACCGTCACCTGTCAGCAGGAGACATGTCGGCCCAGAAGGAGCTGAGGATCCGCCTCAACTGCATGAACTTCAAGTGGTTCATGAACAAGGTGGCCTGGGATCTGCCCAAACACTACCCACCAGTGGAGCCCCCTGCTGGAGCATGGGGAGAGGTACAGTCAGCTCCCATACCTTAAACACAAAAAGGGTTGAGGAATTAGTCTCAATGATAGGTTTGCCAAATTTAAAACCATGACTCTAAGATAAGGAATCTTTGACATCGGAGCATCTGAAGTGCTGTTAGAAGTTTTTGAGTGTACGCTTTTAGAGCAACTATATCCAGGGTTGTGTCTTTCACTTTTCTTTAAAGTTCTTTTTTTCAATTCAAAGTTTGGGTGTAAAAGTGTCTCTTTAGTTATGAATGGGTCCATATCTACCTTAAAATCATAAGCATTTTTATGTGATTTGGTAAAAAGCTCAGTTGACAGTACTCCTGAATAGAATGAAAAGTTATTCAACCACATTTTTGATATTTTGTTTTTCTATTTTTGTGTTGTCACATTCTAAGACAAAAAAACTATTTGCCACGAATCAAGTCGACATTTTAATCTCAAAAGCTGAGCATCTTGGTTTTGATATTTCAATATAACCATTAGACCATTAGCATCATTAGTAACAGCTTCTTCTAAAATAACTCAAGAGGCTGTCAAGAAAATGGTGGCCATTTGGCTGTAATAATCCTATCTGTCTGTCGCAGCAGGCTGAAATCTGCTCTGACAGCACTCAGAGAGGAGAGCACATTTACTCAATGTGAATCAGAAACTCATTTGCATTTAATTGCCTCCCGAAATATACCAAACTAAGGGTCTAATTCGAAAAACTTGAATCTGCCTCAACAATTTAGTGCCTGTGTGATGGTTTTATAGGAAAAAGCTCCAGTTGCTGTCACAGACTTAAAACTCCTGTCGTATAAATGATGATCGTGTCGGGTTGACGGGTTTGTTTACTTGTGTAAGACTTTGCTGATGTGTGTGTTTGATTGTAGGTGCGTAACGTGGGAAGTGGCATGTGTCTGGAGAGTAAACACGTTGTATCCGGGAGTCCCATCCGCCTGGAGAGCTGCGTGAAGGGGCGGGGCGACGTCAGCTGGAGCCATGGACAGGTGAGCAAAACGAAAAAGTCAAAGTCAACTTTATTGTCAATCTTTCAGTTTGTGCGTACAGACAGAGAGATCGAAATACCGTTTCCCACAATCCCGAATATAAGAATAAAAATATGTATACAAATATGTATAAAATATGTATATCCTATGACCTATATAAACACAATCAACAGACACATTTATACATGTGCACATATTAAGAAAAATAAAAACACAACAATAAATATATACAAAATAACAGTCACTTCAATATCTTTGGGAATGTACATTAGTGCAAGATTGTCCATAGCAGCGTAAAAAAGTGTCTGGTGCTGGATTTGGATTTCAGTGTCTGAGTGTGTGGGGGTGTTAAAGTCCAGTGGGGGCAGGGGGGAGAGGGGGAGGGAGGGAGTTCAGCCTCCTGACAGCCTGGTGGAAAAATATATAAGTTAATAAAATAAATACCCTTCTTCTAGGTCTTTAGGCTTTATTTGAAATGATAGTGAAGATGCATCTTTGTTGATAGCTTGTCTCCTTAGTAAATACATGTCTTCTTCTTTCTACACACTCACATGTCATATGAACTTACAAGGACATATAAACGGCATGCACACACTACTTTGTGCTGCTTCATTATCATTGCATTATTCCAAAGGAGTGTGTTCGCTCTCACACGTCACACCGAAGATCTTTAAACCAAGATCCTAATATCAAATGAATGGATTGAATGTCTCCTTTTGTTTCCCCAGCTGAAACGCTGTGCCTCTGACACTTTAATTGCTCTAATCTGAAGATGCACTGTAGTTTCATCATCTCATCGTTGCAATCGGTATTCAGCATCAATGAGATATTGATTCACTGCTTTCACAGGAGGCGCTCCGACAGCTGTGCTTGTCAGGGATTTTCTGTGAGGAGACGAAGGACTCATTCAGGAAGTCTTAGTGATGTCCAAGTGGCCAACGCTGCTCCAGTTTACAGGCTGTAGAGATTCTAATTTAGTTTGGTCAAATATGGTTATGGTTAGATAACAAAGTGCGCTTATTGTTTTCTATCAAGACTATAATTCACATTCTTTTGCAGCTATGTTTAAAGTATATTTCATGTTTTACCACCTTCTTCCAGACAGATGTCAACATGCAAATATAGATGTTGTTTTGATTTCAGCCAAAGTATTTTTAAGATTTCTCCACTATTTGAACTTAATAGTTAAGCATTAAAGTTAATTTGTCACTAAAATCTGAACATAAGGTCCACTTGTTAGCTCTTAACCGTATAACAGTCTGTACATGTTAAGTTATACACTTCATAAAATGCTTTGAAAGGCTTGTGTACACAGTTGTAAACTTTTAGTTTTGATCAGTTTATCTCTGATTAGACTCTTTATAGTATGCAATAATTGCAATGTATATGCAATATTCAATTGTCAAAGTGGATCCTTAACCATGTTTCATCTAAATACAGTCACACTAACAACCTACACAAGTCACAATGAACAGCTTTAGTCATTAAGTCTGATACATTGGATCAGTTATTATCCAAAGAGGCAACACACGCCTCAGATGAAATGTCAGAGTGACACATCAACAGTTACTTTTAAAGGGACAATCAATGATAGCCATTATGACTAACACAGTAACCAGACCGTAACCAGAGAAGAATGATGAGTGTAAAGGTCACATCAACATTAAGAAAGTCAGATATCTGTGAACATTTGTCTTCAAAGTAAAGCAATGAATAGAGCTTCAACTATGTAAGACTAAGTGCAGTAGTGAAAACCCGAGCCCTTATAGGAGATACAGTTCATGAAGATTCACAAAGAAAGTCCAAGGCACAGAGTGTATATTCCCATGCTGTATTATTTATTTTTATGTTAATACAATAATGTGCCCTAATGGCGGCACAGCACTTTTACCCGGAACACACAGAACAGAATATATTTAGCTGCTTTGTGGCTTTATCAAGTTAAACAAAAGTACATTTTTTAAGAGCATAGCTTCTTCCTCTCCAACTGGATTGTATCAAAGAGACTTTCATGGTTAATGCATCTTGTCATTTATCAGCCATCCCGAGGTTTTTCCCCATTTGCTTTAGTATGTGAATGTTTTGACATGAAAGAATGTTGCATTACAACTGGGATTTGTTTCCTGCAGGCAGAGGTGGGAAGTAGTGGAGTACAAATACAAATACTTTGTTACTGTACTTAAGTACATTTTTCTGGTATCAGTACTTTACTCCACTTCTTATTTTTCTGCCGAATTTTTACTTTTACTTCTTACATTTTTAACACAAATACCTGTACTTTTACTTCTTACATTTCCCAAACAGGTTTGTTACTTTAATTTGTATGTGTGTTTGGTGGCGTGATCATTATTATTTAGAGTCATTGCGTGCCTATTGATTTGAACACGATCCGTGTATCCATCATTTCCTGGTCTTCTCTAAAGAAGAGCGACCAATGAAAACTTTGTAATGTTGCCGTTGTTCAGCATGGAAACATTCATTAGCTAACAATGACATTATTGTTCTATTAATATAAAGGGAGGTCAGTTACTCTTTAAAACAGCTGGTAGTTATGGGTACTTTTTACTTAAGTACATTTCGAAGCCCATACTTCTTTACTTTTACTTGAGTAAAGAAGTTTAGTTAGTACTTCTACCAGTTTATTTTTAAACACGTGTATCTGTACTTCTACTTGAGTAAAGGATGTGTTTACTTTTGCCTGCAGGTGTTCACATTCGGATGGAGAGAGGACATCCGGGTGGGCGACCCCATGCACACGAAGAAAGTCTGTTTCGATGCCGTTTCACACAACAGCCCCGTCACCCTGTACGACTGTCACGGCATGAAGGGCAACCAGCTGTGGCGCTACAGAAAGGTACGGCACAGCAGAGTGTGAACACAGAAACTGTAAACGCATTATCTCTATTTATATCAGCCGCTCTGCTCTTTTGTTCCCCCTTCCTTTTTTTTCACGAAACAACAAAGTTTATAACATAACTGCCTTGAAATAAATGACTTTTGAGGTCACTTAATCATTCAGTAAAGTTTTGCATTCAAACAGAAACTGCCCTGCAGCTGATGGATATTCTAAGGACCTCATTATGCTGTTGTTATGCATTTCAGCTCGGTTAAAACAGAAACATGCCATATATCAGGCCACAATTGTATTTATAAAAATAAAAAAAAGCTCTAGGATTTAAGGTTTTATCATAAACAGTCTTCAGCAGTAAACAGAGAGAAAAAGACAAATCAGTGAAACATTTTTTATAATACATGTACAAATATTTAAGTCTATGCCTGCTAATTAGTACAGTTTAGTGCAGTGGTTCTCAACTGTTGGGTTGCGACCCAAAAGTGGGTCGCTGACCCGTTTCGAGTGGGTCGCAGATGTGTGAAATACATTTTTTTTTAGAAGACTTGAAAAAACATACCTTTTCTTTTTTTGTGGAAAAAGGTCAAACTTTTATTTTGAAGGCCCGATTTTCTAACGCTGTGCATGCAGTAGGCTTGGACTGGAAGTACCGGAGACCATAAACGGTTTTGAAAACTTCTGTCACGTAGTGATCATCTTCTCAATAAAACATCTTTGCTGATGTTTTTTCGAGTCTTCTGGCCAATCAGAATCAAGATTGTTGCCGATGATTGACAGGTCACAGAACAATGGGAGCTATCTACCCTACCCACAATGTAAAGTAATTCACACAGACTATCTCCTCTTTGCTCTTCTCTCTGTGTGGAGCAGCAAGTTCAGCTGTCAGAACAAAGTGAAAAACAAACAATGGCATAAAATATTATTAATATGTCGGGTAGTAATAGATTTATTTATTTTCTTCTCAGAGTGTACCAGAATGTGTAGTTTATATGTTAGTATTTCTAAAAATCTCCTGGGGGAGAATCCCCCCAAACCCCCCTGAGCATGTGTGCCTTTATATGTTATACAGTTCAGCTTTGATTCCATCATCTCATTAAACCTTTTTTAAAAGCATACTTTAGTTCTGTGAAGGGATATAAGGGATATATGCACTGTAGGTTACTTCACTTTAATTAATATTGTATGCTGAAAAGCGTATATATTACAGCACAATCTTTTGTTGAATAGATTTGAGTGGTTCAAAATTTCGGGTCGCGATTCATTGACAAAGGAAAAAGTGGGTCCCGAGGCCTGACCAGTTGAGAACCACTGGTTTAGTGTATTAATGATGAATTAATTACAGATTTGAAAGGTTAAAGTGTCATCACCAGCGCAAGTTTCAACATAATTAATTTCATGCTTAAAGAAAAATGGACTTCAAGGTGAAAATGTTACAATGAAAGAAATCCTAATTTTGTTATTTAGACAATCTTTTGTGTTTCTCCAACCTTCCTCCAGGATACGAGTCTGTATCACACGGTCAGTAACAGTTGTATCGACTGCAGCCCCAACGAGCGGCGAATCTTCATGAACACGTGCGACCCCTCCGCCCCCACGCAGCAGTGGATTTTTGAGAAGACCAACTCCACCGTGTTGGAACAATTCAACCGGGGCGGCAACTGAGGCCCTGCAGCATCCACGAACTCCTGACGCACACAGACGTGGATCTGCTGCTGCTGCTGCTGGGAAATGGGGTTTTACATTCATTTGGTTCCTGAAGGTGGCAGCTGTTTCTCTTAGGGTCACTCAGACTGAGGCATGATGGGACACCGTGAGGGAAGTTGTTTAAACACATCAGTCAGAGGGAAGACTGAGTTGAGCTTTGATAGATGGATGTGTGTTTAAAAGTGATTTAGTGTGAGATGTATTTGCTCTGTCACGGTGTTGCTGTGGCGGTTGGTATGTCTCACTTCCTGATTTGGCTGGTGATTGGTTATCTTTCCTCCCTTTTCTTCATTCCCTTTTGTTTTAAAATGTTCTCTGCCTTTATCCGTTGCCTTTATGTTCCCTTGCACAGTTTTGTATTCTCAATTTTCCCTGTCTATCCACCTTTATCCGCTGACTCCATCTCTTTCTCCTTCTGTCTCTTCTGGTCCGCCTCCGCCTGCACGTCCGTCTCTATCTGCCTGCATGACTGCACCTTTTCCATTCTTCCCTCTCAAATCCCCTTATGTCTCTCCAGCTCTGACAACCTCCCTGGGGGGGGGGGAGGTGGCTGCTCCAGCTGAGCCAAAGTCATCCTGACACCTGGGTGAAGCCAGGCAGAACCACTCTGAAAATCACCTGGTGAATTGATTCTCTTTTACAACCCTCATCCACCTTCTGTTCCCTCCTTCATCCTCCCCTCGTGTCCCCTGCTCCCCTCCCCCCCACCAACTCTCTGTGGCCACTGTGGGGCCCGAGCTGCTCTGAATGTAGCAGGTGGAAATAGAAAAAGAAAGTAGAACAGCGATCTCTTTAATGCCCCTTATGCCTTTTTTTTCCTCTGTTCTGAACTTTGCTGGAGTATTTATTGATGACTCGTCCGCGGGTTTGTCACTGTGCCACTTCTTCTTTTATTCCTCGGATGCGAGCACTATCCAATCCCGGGGGTTTGTTCAAGCCAACTCTTGCTGGCTAAGGGTTTGTTTGTTGTGAGGGGGGTGGTAGTGGATGCTGTCACACCTCTTAGAGTCCCCCCCCCCCCTGCTTCCTGTTCGCCCTTTGCTGCTCCCCCGCACGACTCATGCTGATCAGTCGCCGGAACGACCCCGTCACATTCTGCCGAGCGCAGGGTCGCGGCGCGGCGCAAAAGCAGCGGGTGGGACTGCAAATGGACGCCTGCCTGGCTGGATGACTGGCTCTGTGACTGTCAGGCCAGCTGATTCACAGCAGGGCCGCACGATTGGCTGGCTGCCGAGCTGACACATCACTTTAGCGTTCAGGGAGACGAATAGGAGAATCACTCTGGATAGGCTCGCTGAGGTAGCTCTGGGATTGAGACGAATGGGGGGTTTAAAATGCATTAAGCACTTGTGTAATGATAAACTTGAATGAAATCTTCGTGCCTTGTTGGAAGAGGATTAGATAGGTGTGTGTATTTTCTGAAAAAGTGTGTGTGTACGTGTGTGTGTGGGCCAAAGATGTCTACATCAGCATAGGAAACAATTCAATCTATTCAGGATATGACTTTTCTTGAAATCTAAGAATCTTTACATCAAAAAACTTCTCCTGAATCTCTGGTTATCTGGTGCTGGACATTGAGGGTGCCTCTGGCTTTGTGAGCCTTATATGGCTCTCTCAATGAACACACATGTAACTTCTGGCTGTGAATAGAGCTAAAGAGACTTAGTTTCCCACCACATTTTCCTCCTGCCTTGAAACTATTAGCCCTAAGAAGACCCGTTTAATCACTACACGATGCTGTTTTGTTGTTTTCCCACCTGTTCAATCCAAAGTACTTTTATGGGAAAGGGAATTGTTGTTTACTACATTGTTTTTACCCTATTGTTTTTCTTTCTGTTTTAATTAAATGTTATGTTATCATTTAAATGATTTAGCTGATTAGTTTCCTGCTCAACGTGATTTCCTGGCATTTCCTGGTCTGTCGCCTGCACCCATTCTCTAATCTGGTTTTGTGAAAAAGAACAATGTACAGTATGCGTCATTATCAGGTATTGTGCTTGATAAGATGTCAACAGTCCAAAACAACAGGTCCTATACTCCACATACCTTAGAAAAGGTACTTTTAAGTCACAAATTAGGCTAACTCGGACAGAATTGTTTGCTAAAATGACAGGCATCTGTTCAGGTTAGAACACTTTTAAGATAACATAATACAATATTTACTATAGACAAGTATATATAAATAGTAAATGCATATATTTTAAAGACTAATTGTAGACTTGGCAGCCCATGCATCATGTATGTCTTCAATTGTGATTTGGCCAACAATTGACAACTTATAACATTATCTTTGTTGAAAATCCAACACTAATCCTTTTATTCAATATGGCAAACTGTCTTTCTCTGAGAAAAAGATCCTGCCTTTGCACACCTGATAGAAGACCATGGCGATTTAAATTTAGTTCAGGGTTCCTGTGTCCTTTTTCCCCTGACCTTCTCGCTACATGCCTGGACAACTTGTACATTGTCAGATTGTTAAGAGGGGAGTGGGAGTTGCTGCTGCAGACCACTGAGTCTCTGATGTAGCCAGGATTTCACTACAGGACCAAACAGGACAGAAGCGAAAACCCACCTGACCTTTTACAGCCTGATTTATTTCATGTTTCCTACTGTTTTTCTTTGAAGGTTTTAAAACACTGTTTTCTGGGTGATGTGTCAAAGTCCTGTTCGGATCAGTAGTGCAATCAGGGCTGTTCAATCATAGGACTTTATTGTGAAGGACTGTTGTGACTGTTTAATACAAACACTGTACTTGAGCACACACTTGTGTTGAGGGCTGAATACACGTAGCAACATTGTGGGCTGTAATGATACACTGTATTTGTATTGTACTACTAAAGTACCTTATATCTTAGAAGTGTCTCCTTTGTTTTACAAAATAACTTGATTCCTTTCGGTTAAACATTAGATAAAAAGGTGGATTCTTAAACATACCATACAAAGAAGATGATGATGTTCTAGGTAGTGATTTGAAATCCCTGCTAGTTCTTCAGTACCTTTTCCAGAAATAAGAAACTTTGCCAATTATATTGAGAGAAACTTAACTGAGCAATTGAGCCTCTTTTTAGCTGGGTTTTTAGCTGTTTTTGTTGTTGTGTCCCAATTAGTGTAACCATTCATTTGAGCTTTAAAAAATAAACAATTGTTTTACATTTTACCACAGAAATTGACTTAAAGGGGACCTATCATGCAAAATGCACTTTTGTACGTCTTTTATACATGAATATGTGTCCCCGGTGTTCCAGGGAACTCACCAAGTGTCAGAAAACACAACCCTCTCTATTTTCCTCCATACCCAAATCTCTAAAAAAGGGGCTGCAACGGATCTGATAAAAACTGATCCAGATTTGAACACTGTCCTGACGTCAGGACAGTGGCGCTACGGCTATTGGGCCAACTCCACCAATCAGGAGGAGACAGCCACGGCCATTGCCGTTCGAAAGCGCTGGAGACGCTGTAGTACATATGCCAGGCCTGTAGATGGTGCTGTTCTGCCCTTATCTGCCCTTACAAACACAGAGCTAAAAAATGTCAAATTGAGCAAAATGAGGCATGGCTAAAATGCATGATCTGTTTGGTATTTTGAAAAAAAAAAAGTATATATATGCCTTATATAGGTATGGTCCTACACTATATTATTCAAATATAGCATGATAGGTCCACTTTAAATGATCTCTCTGGGAAATTGGACAATTGAACATATTGCCCAAAGTGTTGCTAACTGTATCCCTTTGAGTAAGTGTTTTTTCTTTTTTGTGTTGTTTTTCTTTTGCTCATTCGAGTATATTTAACCTTTCCATTGCACATGTATGTTTGTAAAGTATGTTTTTAGTACATCAATAAAAACAATAGGTTGAGTCTTAATGACACATTACATTGACTTGTTATAGATTTCATTCACTGTGGTAAAGTATTACATCTTTTTATCACTGTGTACAAGCTATTCCTCTATAAAAACAAATTACAGCGGAAAAATCCAGTTCAAGTTGTCAAAAATATTTCCTTTTGTATTCAATACTTTTCCACAGTTTGTTGAGTAAGGTAAGGGTAAATGTCCTGCCACTTTTTTATTTAAGTGGTGAACTTTAAGACGAGAGTTCATATTGTTTTAAAAGGGCATAGGTTTTTAATGTCAGTGGCCATGGTCGGCCATTTACACCATGTTGTGTACATGTGTGGATTTTCATGTGTAGGAAAGTGTACATTTTGTATCTCATAAAAAATATCCAATATTTTTTTCTACTGACATTGCAACTGTAAAAGTGTATTTAGGTATTTAACAAACTGTACAATTAAACTGGAATTGTATGATATTTTTGCTGAAATTGTAAAATAAAAGGTTTCTATATTTGGATGAAAACGTGTCTGGTGATAAATGAAATACAAACTTGACGAATGCGGTGATGAATACATGCCAGAAGAGTCAGAACTAACTAAGCTCTTTCACACCCAAACAAGCTTGTGCGGGTTCCCTGCTGTGGGTTGCTTTCCAAACGTATCCAAAACTCAATGTATAAGAATAACTTTAACTTCTGGAAGACAACTAAAACTGTATTTTAAAGGGCTGTAACGGTTTCAACATCTCTCTGCATTGATTGACAGGTGTACTGCATGGCTGCAATTGAAAAGTCAACCACTGTTCCTTGATTCAGACATACTTTAGTGTGCCTCAAGGTAAAAGTATTTGAAACCTGTGTTGAGGTCAATTTAGTCTAAAAAAAAAAAATCTAAATGCATGTATTTTGTGTGCTAATGTAGCTTTAAAGATGTCCTATCATGCGAAATTCACTTTTTGATGTCTTTTATACATAAATATGTGTCCCCGGTGTGTCAGGGAACTCCCAAAGTGTCAGATAATACAACCCTCTCTCTTTTCCTCCGTACCCACATCTCTAAAAACGGGGCTACAACGGAGCTGATCCAGATTTACGTCCGATATGACGTAATATCGGAAATGTGGGCTAGCTTTACACCCACGGCCCTATCAGAAACGTTGCTATCAGAAACAATGCCCGACGTCTTTTGGACGTAATATGGTCTTTGTTTAAATTAGCAAGCATCGCCAGGGCGTTTCCTGGACCTGGAAACATTAGGGGCTTAGCCCACAGTGGCGGCGCCAGAGATTTTCTTTTGGGGGTGCTAATTTTCCCATAAGGTGTAAGCAGGGGTAAAGTAAAAAAAATTATAAGTGGGGGGTGGACCTAACATCCTCTAGGGGGGTCCTGGGGCATGCTCCCCCGGGAAGATTTTTTTTTTTAATATTGAAGTTAAATGCATCAATCTGGTGCACTTTGAGAGCAAAATTAAGCAACAAGTCCTCCAACTCATACGACCAAATAGGTCGATTGTTCAGCAGCTTATTATTATAATAGTCACGTTTTAAAGTTTAGCATCTCTAGTGGTCGTGTAAGAAACAACAATTTGCGGCAATTGCAAACGCTCCGGAGGGTCGTATATTCACAAATAACCCTCTCTGGAAAATCCTAATTTGTAGAATAGTTTGGCCATTAAAATGCTTTTTGATTAGATTTCTAGCGAGAAGTGTATATTGTACTTTTAGAATCCACGTCCAGTAGGGGTCTAACGATATATGTATTCATACCGAAAATATTCAGTATGGGCCCTTCGGTTCGGTACACGTGTGTACCGAAGTGTACCGAACGAATATAACGTTAAACGTAAACAATTGAGAACGTGAACAACTTTTTGGAAGTAATCTCAGGTGCTGCGTCGCAGCGTTCAGTGTAATTTGCTCCCATTGGGTTCAACGCGTCATAGAGCGACCAAGTCATTTCATTGGACGAGAGGCATACTATGAGAGCTGGTCACAGGGATGCGTTCAAATGTAGTCAGTAATTTGAGGAAATGGCGAACGCAGATAAAGGTGAGCTCGAAAATCCTCCAGCATCATTGAAGTCTCCGGTTTGGGAACATTTTGGTTTCGCAGTTACGTACAAGGATGACGGACAAAGACAGGTGGACCGAACCAAAGCTTTTTGTCTGCATTGTTCAACTAAAATTGGTTACGCGGCAGGCAATACATCAAACTTGCACACTCATTTGAAAAGGCATCACCCGAACGTGAATATCACCGGTACCAAAAGAAAAATGACTGAAGTGCAAACCCAACTCCCACTAGCATTTAAGCCTCCAACACTCGCAAAGAGTTCAGACCGAGCCAAAGCTATTACAAACGGCAAATATCTTTATGTTGCCATGTTAGCAAAGCGCCGTCGAGTGCTGAGACGGACTGTTTGAAAGCCCCGCTAGTCAAGGACGAGGCGGTGGCAGAGTTGGAGATGATTGAACTTTCAGAGGATGACCGACTGAAACCTGTTCTGAGGGAAGGGACCCTTGAGTTCTGGAAAACTGTGCCAATCGAAAATGTGTGGTGTGTGTGTGTGTGTGTGTGTGTGTGTGTGTGTGTGTGTGTGTGTGTGTGTGTGTGTGTGGTGTGTGTGTGTGTGTGTGTGTGTGTGTGTGTGTGTGTGTGTGTGTGGTGTGTGTGTGTGTGTGTGTGTGTGTGTGTGTGTGTGTGTGTGTGTGTGTGTGTGTGTGTGTGTGTGTGTGTGTGTGTGTAAAGTTTTAGATTTTCATTTTATCTGTGTGAGAGAGAGAGGGGAGGAAGAAAGTGAAGGAGCACAGAAAAAGGCTGAGAACAAAAGAGAGAAGGAGGGGGGGTGCACGCGCATCTGTGACTGTGTGTTTGATGTGGCTCTTTGCAGTAACATAGTATAAATGTTGGCTCTTAACCTCTGACTGGTTGGCCACCCCTGGCCTAGTGGTTAAAGCACGTTATTGAATTTTTTTATTGAATATGTTATATTTGATGAAAACATTTAAATATTAAGAGTACATACAAAATAGGGGGAAAGTAGAAGGTCAATGATAGAAATATAGAATAGAAAAATATCAAGAAGATACTGTAGTGATCTCTACAATAAAACAGCTAGTGCAGGACGTCCAAAGATATTATAGGAGGATGTGCAAAACAGCCAAACTAATAAGGCTTTATTTATACATTAAAGAATACTTTAAAGTGGACCTATCATGCTATATTTAAATTATATATTGTAGGGCCATACCTACTGTATATAAGGTATATTTATACGTTTCTGTTTTCAAAATACCAAACAGATCATGCATTTTAGCCATGCCTCATTTCGCTCTATGTGCTGTTTGCTGTCTACGGGTCTGATTCTGCTGACCACGCCCCCCTGCAGGAGAGGGGAGACGTGCTCTGATCAGCTGCTGGGCTGTCAGAAGAGGGGGAGAAAAAGAGATCTCCGTCCTCCGTGTTTTATTATATAGAGTCGTTATTCATTTGTTTTAAAGCTCAATAAATAACAAAGAAGACCTTTGACCGGCACTTTTCTAATTTTGTCCGGAAGATTTAAAATGCACTTTTGTACGTCTTTTATACATGAATATGTGTCCCCGGTGTTCCAGGGAACTCACCAAGTGTCAGAAAACACAACCCTCTCTATTTTCCTCCATACCCAAATCTCTAAAAAAGGGGCTGCAACGGATCTGATAAAAACTGATCCAGATTTGAACACTGTCCTGACGTCAGGACGGTGGCGCTACGGCTATTGGGCCAACTCCACCAATCAGGAGGAGACAGCCACGGCCATTGCCGTTCGAAAGCACTGGAGACGCTGTAGTACATATGCCAGGCCTGTAAGTGGCGCTGTAGTCTGCCACAAAAGCAGCGAAGAAGACTTCCCGCCCATAGTTACTATGGTTACCCTTCTGTTTATTCTCCGCTGTGGCTTTTTTTCTCCCTCCCCGAGGCAAGAGTTTGCTCCTGCTGCAATGCAATCCCTCCCCGTCGAGGCAAGCACTGTAATTCTCTCCGGTTAGTCCACCAGCAGATGACAAACACCCACCTCTCCGCCTCTTCCAAGGAACGAGGGGACCGTGCGGCAGAGTTTCAGTTTCAGTTTCTTTCGCCGGTCAAGATGTCCGTTAAAGTTGAAATCTTCCGGACAAAATTAGAAAAGTGCCGGTCAAAGGTCTTCTTTGTTATTTATTGAGCTTTAAAACAAATGAATAACGACTCTATATAATAAAACACGGAGGACGGAGATCTCTTTTTCTCCCCCTCTTCTGACAGCCCAGCAGCTGATCAGAGCACGTCTCCCCTCTCCTGCAGGGGGGCGTGGTCAGCAGAATCAGACCCGTAGACAGCAAACAGCACATAGAGCGAAATGAGGCATGGCTAAAATGCATGATCTGTTTGCTATTTTGAA